TTTTTTCATTAAGGAGTTCATTTCATCTATCATAGCAGCATGCCAGTTCTCAGACTGCTTGCAGCTCATTGCCTCTTCATAAGATTTTGGTTCTTTAAACACTAAGTCATGATAGGACAAGACAGCAAGTGAAAGGTAATCTCCATACCTAACAGGCTCTCTTACTTCTCTCCTAGTCCTATCTCTAGTTAATTGGTAATCTCCCAATTCATCAGGCTGACTTTCCAGATTTTCTTGAACATTTTCCTCTTCATTTTCTTGAGGATCAGAAGCTATTTCAGCTTCTTCATCTACCTGTTCATCACTAACAGGTTCAGTAGGTAAACCAAGCTCCACCTGCAGCTTGGTACCATCACCTCTTTCATCACCAGGTACCCCTTTTGGTTCTTTATTATCTAAACAAGGCATCTTTGACTCATCAAAGGTAACATCTCTACTGGTGATGATTCTAAAACCTTTTACTTCTTTACTCCATAGCCTATAACCTTTAACCCCATCAGGATATCCCAAGAAAACACATTTCTGGGCTCTAGGTTCAAGTTTTCCTATACTTTGATGGGAATAGGCAGCACAACCAAAGATTCTTAAATGTGAATAGTCAGGAACATGTCCTGTCCATAACTCTTCAGGGGTTTTATCTCCTAGAGCACTTGAGGGGGTCCTATTAACAATGTATGAGGCTGTCATTACAGCTTTACCCCATAACACCTTAGGGACACCTGAGCCTATCAACACGCACCTAACATTATCTAGCAAGGTTCTATTCATCCTTTCAGCCACTCCATTCTGCTGAGGAGTATAAGGTACAGTTTTATGCCTTTTAATACCAGATTCTTTGCACAACTGATCAAATTCAGCATTGCAAAACTCAAGGCCATTATCAGTCCTAAGGATTTTAATTTTCTTCCCAATCTCCTTTTCCACCAGAATATTCCAAGTTCTGAATTTATCAAATGTTTCAGATTTGTGTTTCAACAAATAAACCCAAACCTTCCTTGAATAGTCATCTATCAAGGACAAGAAATATCTATTTCCTCCTTGAGTAACAGTGGATGAAGGCCCCCATAAATCAGCATGTATATACTCAAGGATAGAGGTGGTTCTATGTTTTCCTGTGTTAAAATGCAGTCTATGCTGTTTTCCTAAGGTGCAATTTTCACAAAAAGACACCTTAGATATAGAGTCTTTCCCAAACACACCTTTCTTATAAAGGATGTGAAAGCCCTTTTCACCTACATGGGCCAATCTCTTGTGCCACTTTACGGTAGCATCAACTTCTACACTAGAAGACTGACCTATGTGATCAAATACTGTACTAGCTTTGATCACATAAATTCCATTTCTTTTAACACCTTTAAAAATAACAAGTGATCATTTTATCACTTTCAAGAAGACATCTCCTATTTTTCCTTGCAATCCCATATCATCTAGATTCCCTATGGAAATCAGATTCCTATTCAATTCAGGAACATATCTCACCCTTTCAAGAGTGTAAATGTATCCATTATCGAATTTCAAAGTGACATTCCCAACTCCTTCAACTCTGCAGGCTACATTATTTCCCATAACTACTTCTCCTCCATCAATTTTCTTAAAATTGTCTAAATATGCCCTTTTATAGGTCATATGAAAAGTGCAACCAGAATCCAAGATCCATTCTTGGTTCTGATTCTCATCAATAACATTTGCAGAGCTAGGTAGATTTTCAGTCACAGCATATACATCAACTGTGGCAGAACCTTCAGATTCTACCACATTTCCTTCATCAACACCCTTTTGTTTCTGTTCATTTTTCTTCTTATAACAGTCTTTAATAAAATATCCAGATTTCCCACACCCATAACACTTCTTAGTTCTAGTCCTTGACTTAGACCTGCCTCTACTTTTAAATTTTCTCCTACTGTTATTTCCCTGATTATTATGGCTTTCCTGAGTACCACTAGACCTACTTAAAGTCCTCCCTCTAGCAAACAAGTTCTCATGGCCACTATTACCTCTCTCAGACTTAAGTTCAAGTTCCTTACTCCTTAAAGAGTCTATAACAATATCAGGTGTAAGAGTATCTCTACCATACTTAATGGCGGCTTTAACCTCTTTGTAGGCTTCAGGTATTGCATTAAGTAATACTACAGCCTTATACTCATCAGAAACTTTCTCACCTGTATTAATAATGTCTTGAACTAACTTATTAAAAATGTCTAAGCTATCCTCTAAGTCTCTAGTTGGATCTATCCTAAAGCTAAAAAATTTCTCTAATAGAAACAACTTATTAGGTAAAGACTTAGGTAGGTAAAGTTTTTCTAATTCATCCCATAAGGCCTTAGCAGTATCATGTTTGCCTACTTTTCTTAAAACTTGATCAGATAAATGCAAAATAATGGAGGTATAAACAAGTTCATCAGATTCTTCCTTTTGATCTTCTGTCATGGTATTAGGAAATTCATCTGTTATTGCTTTAGAAACCTTTTGCTGAACTAAAACACCTCTCATTTTTTGTTGCCAAATGGGAAAATCCCCTTTTCCATCAAAAACACCAAGTTCAAAGGATTTTGTCATGTTTTATATGTGAAGAACTAACACACAGTAATTTTTCACAAATTATAACAAAAACAGAGAATCAACCTTTTGAAAACTGTTGAAATTGACCTTCACAAAAAATTTATGTTTTAGATCATATAAAGTAATATGCAGTCAAAAGAAAAATGAGCCACAATTATTTTTATTCACAAACAGTTTCAATCAATAGCAGGAACATTAGGTATTCTAATGTAAACACCACAGAAATCAAGAAAATACAACAATGCAGGTAAAACAATATTTCAGAATTAAAGAATCAGTATATGCAGGACCTAGGGTTGATCAAATTCACCAGGATTCCGTGAGAATCAAGTTCTCAGGTCAAGGCTCAATTTGAATCACCCAAACTTAATTGATCACAAGCAACTATTACAAGATATTGCAAACTAATGTAACAGGTTACAATGTACAGCAACTAAACATATCAACATAGAGGCATATATACATAAGGGCAGTGTTTAGTGAGTGTGAGATCATAGGGGGTTCAAGAAATGCAAACCGAAAATGGTTAAACAATTTAACCACCAGCTGAAATCCAGAAAGAAATATTGCAGCAAGGATAGATTCACTGCAGGTCACCAAGGCACAAAACGTGCCCCTGCAGATTCAGTTTCCTCAAGTTTCAAGGCCTGGTAGCTCCAATCAGTTAGGGTTCAAGCACAAAACAAGGCCACAGGATCTCAGTATTGTGATTCTTTTTCAAATCACATCGAGGAATCACAAAAACTCCCTCGCATTCCACAGTCCAGAGTAGAATCAACACCACAGACCACAATGTCGACACAAAATCATAAAACTAGGGTTTCGCGATCTCCGGTCGAACTCCTGGAAATTAATTTTCCAGTGTTCAACCTTCAATCGAAGACTCACGACCGAAAGCCTAAAGCTCTGATACCACTATTATAAACTGAATCCAAAGAAACATAGATGAAATCATAGAATCGCAGATTACATCATAAACCCTAAATCACAACATCAAGGCTTAGATCTTTCAATCGAAGGCTCAGACCACACCCATTAACCATCACAGAGGCACCGAGACTCAAAACGAACCCTCACAACCCAAACACACCAAGGTCACTTCACTGGACTCAAGAAATCAAACTGCCTACCTTCGGTCGATCACTCACACAAAGGAGAATCACACAAGAACACGATTATCACAAAGATAATCAACCAGAAATCTCACAAAGAGAAGGAGGAAGGGTCACACAGACAAAGGAACTCGAAGGTTCCAAACGGCAGAGAGAAAGAGAAAAAACAGAAAGTGACGATCCAACGGCCAAACAGGGAGTAAGGTAGGTATTTGTAGTAAATATCATCAACCGTTGATCAGCGGGTCAATCCAACGGTCCAAGAGCGACTAATGGTGTGTGGGCTGGATATTGGGCTCGGTTAAGTGGGCCTTCTAGGTATATATTTAATGGATCAAGTAATAAATCCAATTTGGGCCTTTTCATCATTGCCTAACAGTTGGACTGGATCAAATGGCATCACAGCCCAACAGAAGGTAAGTTCAAAAGCTCTATATTCCATAACTTTTCTGTGTTTCTGACGTTTTCATAATTTTTCAAGGGTAACTGATGTCATCGAAATTTTATGTTATTATATCTTAATTCAAAAATTTCACATACATTTTGTCATTTAGGTTGTACTCCTCTCCACTGGGCTGCTATTTGGGGTAATTTAGAAGCATGCACTGTGCTGGTGCAAGCTGGGAAGAAAGAAGATCTGACGGTAGCAGATAATACTGGTCTCACACCTGCACAGCTTGCTTCTGATAAGAATCACAGACAAGTCGCCTTTTTCCTTGTAGGTATTGCTTAATCTTGCAGTTCTTTTATTCTCAGTGAGTTGGAACTTAATTAGTGGAGTTACAAATCGTATCAAAATAATTTTGTCCTTGCTTATGTGTAGTCCTATCATTGAAGTCAGGGAGTTTATTTTTAGTTACAGAAACTAACAATTTTTCAGAATTCTTAATTGTCCTAGAGTATCGTCCTGTCCCCACGATCTTGTGATACTTAAAATTTTGTTGGATATGACCACTTCCAGTATTGTATTGTTTACTCTTAGTTTGGGAATTAGTCTGTATGTATTATGATAAAGCGCTTAGAGCTTTTGGGAAACATTTTTTTCTCTCTTTCCTTTGAGCAAAAGATTTTGTGTTTCTCATCTTTTCTTCTTTGCATTTATTAGCCCCTGTGGCTCTATTATATAAAGTAGACAACTTCGTCTAATTTAAGGACATTTTCCTAGCGTTCTATATCTAGTCTCTGTTTGGCGAAATTATTTTAATCATTTTTATACAATCAAACTTCATTTTCACTCATACATTTCAATGGATCCATAAGTACTATCCACTTATACACCACTCGTTTCTATCTATTTATAAATTCTTCCCAAAGGGAGGCTTAATAATCTTTTATAAATTTAGTTATTCTTGCTTTTCCCTGTATATATGGGATTTGAGTACTTGAGACATGCTTATGAAATTGCATCGCTAATTGCAGATTTACTATGATAAAGTTTGTAAGTACATGCTGTGTTTTTATTTTGGTAGGCATACCGGGAAAACATAATCACATCCATTTCACGGTGAATAATGCTATTCATCAACAGTGTTCGTGGTCACTGCAACATTCTCCAATGAATTAAAATTGATTCCAATTTTATAGGAGAATGTGGCAGTTATTAGCTGCCACATAGATTGTTGATGGCTAAGCACAACTTATGAACAACAATACTCTTTCACAATTGAGTTGCGTGCAAAGTGTCTCTGTAATTATATAAGATATTGGTTCTCCACTTGTCCAACCTCGTGCATGACAATAGGGAAACGATCTTGAAAATTTTCTTTAAGAATAAATCATTCAAAAAGACTGGGTGTGTGTATTTGCTCATTTTCTTTCTTTCACAAGGTTTTTTGTTGTCAAGAGGGGGGTGGGGGTAGGGAGGGAAAGAGTTCGTTCTTCCCAAATTTCTGGACAGTTATCAAGGAAGCTACTGTTTTAGAATTCATGAAGGAAATTCCTGATTGGTTGGAAATTCGTAACTGAGCTTTTGAGGCTAAGAGGAGTTTGTTTTGTTTGGGATATGTTGAGGGAATGCAGAAAATTACTAGAACTGATTACGCATGGAAATTTAGCCTAAAAAATCAGATTTATTATAGATTTTGATGGAAGTTGATGAAATGTGTGGTTAAAAAGTTGTTAAAAGTTGTGGGTCCCATGAATTGTGTGGTTGAAAATGAGTTATAAAAATTGGGAGCCAACCAGGGCAAGTTTCCTCTTGAATTATTGGAGCTTCGTGACGAAGTAAAAAAGAAAAGGTATACAGCTTGTTGTAGATGAAAATGGTGTTTTTTAACACATTTTTGTACTATAATCCTAGTAACTTCTTGCAGTTAAAATGTCAATTCCCTATTTTCCCTAAATATATGTTGGTCAAGCAGTTTTATTCTTTTCACATTAATTTCGATATTTGTCTGCATTTGGGATAGGCCATATATTTATTATGTTCTTTGGATTTACAGGGGAATGCTAGAAGGTTGTTTGACAAACAGTGCGATGGAAACAGCCGCCTTGGCAAACTCTCGAAATTAGGACTTGCTCCAATACTCTGGTGTATAATATTTTTGTTACTTGTGACTTATAGTCATTCAGCTGTTACGGGTATTTCTCGACTTTCTGCTTCTCATTTTTATTTAGCATTGTAGGTCTAAGTGTTACGCTTGAGAACCTTTGTTACTTATTTCTGGATGCAGCATCAAACCTGCCAAAATTAACAGCTGGCTTTGGTCTTCTTGCTTGGATGGGTGTGTTCTTGGCATCCTCAGGACTAGTTTTGTTTTATAGGTGCAGCAGGTAACTCAAATGAGTGCCTGGCATTCATAAAGTCATTGTTTCTTTCGGCTTAGATGTCTATAGGACTTGTGAAGATGCTTTCTTTATTTTTGTGTTTGAGAAATGGAGTTCGCTGTTGGATTTTTCTCTAATTTTCTTATTAATCATAATATGGTATACCTGGTCAAAGATGATTTTTGATTGTTTATTACTATTTCTACAAACTTTCATGATGAATTCCTGTAGCTTGGTACTTTCTTTCCATATCATTTCATTATGTTAAAATTGTTCTTACATAGGATGTTTTAGAATGTCAAATGATTCTATGTTTTTGTAGTTTCCCATTTTACTTTGCTGTTGAATGCCCTGCCAGGTGATGATTTCAGCCATTAACTTAATTGTTCTGTCTAAGCATTGAAAATGTGGATATGCATTTTGAAATTGTGAAACACATTCCCCCTTGAATATACAATGTATGTGCATGTAGATGTAACTTGATTATTTAATATTTGAGCTTCTTACAGCTAAGAGTTGTGATTAAACTTATTAGAACTTGTTTGGAATTACTATTATTGTTAATGAGTCTAAACTTGTTTGACCATGTTGTTTGTAGCAAGGATTCAGGGTACATCAGAATGAATGTACATGACTTACAAAACACGAAAGATGATGTAAGTTGCCTGCTGTTTCATTATCTATTTTCCAGTTAATTGCTATGTTTATATCTAATCCAACAGTTCCATTGTTCAAAAATAAAATTGGTTCCAGAAGCATAGAAAAATCACTGACTCATCTTTTATCTACACTGATGCTGGAAAGCTGTACTTTATATCAATCCTGTTCTTTTATTTCTTTCTAAGATTCCCATGCATACTATCTTACCTAGCTTTCATATCATAGCTCTTAATTTGCTTTGCCTGGTATAGAAATCCATAGTTTTAATTGTATACTTTAAACATTATTTAAATGTTACCCTTATTTTTGGTTTAGGAACCTTTGCTGAAGATTGAAATAAATAATCCCGCTTTGCTTGCCGGGAACTGGTCTCAGCTTTGCGCAACTTGCAAGGTGCAAAATCCTGTGTACCTTTGTAAAAGGAAGCTGTATTCTATCTAAATGTTCAAGTTGTATTGCTTCTAATCTCATCTGACCTGTGCTTTATCAGATTGTTTGGCCTCTATGCGCGAAGCATTGTTCTTCCTGTGATCGTTGTGTTGAACAGTTTGACCATCATTGCCCTTGGCAAGGTGATATGACATTTATTTGCATATCTTTCTCTATTATTATTATTATTATTATTATTATTATTATTATTATTATTATTATTATTATTATTAATAATAAATAAAATGGAGTGCCCTGATTAAATGACCTCGGAAAAATCATATATGTCCAAATCATTGAAGGCATGGTAAAGGGAAAAAAATGTGTGTGTCTCTCTCTCTCTTTATACCACTTGGATTCGAGTAGAGATTAGTTGGTTGGTTCTCCATACTCTTCGCATCCTAACTTGTAAAGGTAAAAAGAAAGGAAAAACATAATCTGCTCTTTCTTTCATGGCTCACTTAGATTCCTAACTGGTATACCTTGTATCTGGAGGAAGAATGGGTGAATCAAGTGACGGGAGGATGAGTTAGATGGTTAACAGATGCTGATCTTTATGAAATAGACAGAAAAACTGTGAATAGATGATTAGTTAGCTCATACAGTCTCCTATTTGTTCTGCATTCCTCCTTCCCACTTGGTGGTTTTCTCTGTTAATTCATGGGTATTAATTTCCATAATGGTCTGATTGAAATTTTATCATTTGATCCAGAAAAACAAGTGGGATTTCTTTTTGTTTCTTCTTCTGGAAGTTCTGGCGATGCTGATTGCTGGAGGAGTGACTCTCACAAGTGAGATATATTTTTCCTTGGTCTTTGCTTGGAAATATTTAAACGTTGCTATAATTTCATCGTCCTTCGTTTTCTTCATGTTCCATTATCCGTTGTAAAAAATTTTGTAACATTGCAGGAGTGCTGACCGACCCAATGGCTCCATCTTCCTTTGGTGCATGGTTGAACCATGCTGGAAATCAGCATGTTGGTGCTATATCCTTTTTGATTGCCGACTTTTTCCTCTTATCTGGTGTGGCAGTCTTAACTGTTGTACAGGCTTCTCAGGTTTGCTTCCAGGATCTTTATTTTCTTTGTATTTGGGTTCTTTTCAGTTAATTATCCGAAAATGCATAATTATAGTCATGGTTTGAAATAATAGGAAGGTACTGTGACATACCTGTGGTATGATTCGTTAGCCTAGAATATGATCCAAGAATACAATGTTTTGGTGATACATTATGATAACATGAGGATGTATAGACATCATTAAGTGTTTTAAAAAGTCTGATTTCCTCTCAGAAAGTTTCCAGTTTGTCTTGTTATGTCCAGAACCTTCACTTTTTTATGTCATTCACATCTTCATGCATACATGGTATATCGAAATCGAAGTCATTCTCACATCTTGTTTCATTCAGACTGCTCTATCTAATTGAATCACACTGGCCAAAAGCTTTAGAGATACCAGCAATATCTCAGTACCAACATAATAAGTGAGACTGGAAACCAATCCCAAACATGTCACTAGGGGGTATTCAATGATCTGATGTGTTCTTTCACATATTCATTTCTCCTGAAGAAGTAAATCATTTTTCCACAGCACATAGCTTCTACACCATGCACGAATATTCGATGTTGAGAACATGGATCAACGTACAACATGATTATCAGCACGTGATCGACCATTGTTGTTTAAATTTGCTCTTAGTTTAGGTTGCATTTGTAGTCCATTTTGCCAAGATATTATTTTGTAAAAATCTGAATATGAAAATAAACATTTAATGAAAAGTAATATGCCAACTTGTCAGCATCTGTGTTGAACAGTTTTTGCTACTCTTTTTAGTTACTTTTAAGAGGAGTTGGCGACTTATTCTTTTGGTGATTAATGGTTTTTGCTATTCTATCCCTCCTACTGATTGCTCGAAACATTACTACGAACGAAATGGCAAATTCAATGCTTTACAATTATCTCAGAGGAGCTGGGGGCCGATTCAGAAACCCATATGATCATGGCTGCAAGAAAAACTGCTCAGATCTCTTGATAAATGGATACAATGAAGACGTGGAGTACAATGAAGAATTGAGTCAATCTGAAGGGACTTCAATGTTGCAAATGGCTCGGAATACAAACCTGTTGAACGGTATCAGCCATGCTCATCAAACAAATGGAAATGGTCACGTAGCAATCGACGTGAATAACAACAAAAATGCACATCATGGGCATGTTCATTCTTCTTATCGTAGCCATAGCCATGACCACAGTAGAAAAACTGATTCTGCTCCTTTGGGTTTGGGCATCGGTTTAGGGCGAAATGCTACCGGTTCTGCAACTGCATCATGATATTATCGTGCTATAGGGTCGGAAAAAATGTCTTCTTTTTGTCTCTCTTTTTTGACCATCTTTCTGTCCGTAAACGTACAAGATTAGCTTCTGTAATTCAATTAAGGATTATTCTACAGTTACAGGGGGTGGTTTACAGGCCCCCGCCAGGGAAGACACACGGTGGGCCCCACAATAAAATTTTTTTTTAATACAAGTGGGCCCCCCCACACAGTGAGGGGCCTGTAGGCACCCTATGAAAGAATGCCCTGTACGCAGGGCATTCTTCTTCAATTAATCTCTTCTTTTTCAGGTACAATTTTTCATTACCTCTCTGTGGCTGTTTTATATCGAATTTGGTTCGTTTATTTCATGATTCATATTAGTAACCGTTTTGGTCAATTAATTCGCTTATTCAAATGACTTGTTAAGAAAGGAGATAAAAGAAAAACATAAAAAGGGTGCTTTAATTTTTGGCTATGTTGTACTGACATGAACTATTTCTCTGGAATTTAGGTTTTAAATCTCTTTTCTTATTTAATAAAAGAGTGTAGCGTTTGGTCTCCATTAAATTTCATTACATTACATTCTATTTTTTTCTTTCCGATTTTTCAATCATACAATCTTTCATAAAATAATATTACACATAAATTGAAAACTTTTTTTTTTCTTTTTCAACAATTCATTTCTCAAAAAAATAATATTTCACCTATTTTCATTTCTAGAAAATGGGGGCCAAACGAGGGTTAAGATAGATAGAAATTATCTATTAAACAACGTTAGCAATAGTGATATTGTACACGAAGCAACTTTGACATGACTTTGACAGGACTTTTGGCAAGTTAAAAAGCTGCTTAGAGATTGGATCCATTTAACAGGATTTATTTTTTATTTGTTCATTTTATAGTAGAGCTTCCGAGAAAAATATTTTAAGCTAGTTTCCTTTGAAAAGTCTTTTAGTTGGACAAAATATATTCAGAAAATTATCCAATCAAATTCAAAAGCAAACTTTTAATCTCATAAGTAGCTTTTGATTTTTTTTAAAAATATTGCCAAACGGATCCTAAGAAGTTACTTTGAAACATGTTTGAATAATTTATTGAAAGTGTTTTGTAGGATTATGAGAACTTTAGAAAATTTTGGTCTAAAATGTCTTCAAAAAAAATATAAGCAAAATAAAAGCTTTGTCAAACGAACACTAATAGGTGAATAAATTTATGATAATTCATATGAATTAAATTAACTACTTATTAATTTGTTATGTCACTATTTCTAGTAAATAATTTTTCAGAAGATAATCTTGGCTAAAAATGTTTGTTTCGATCAACTTGATTTCTTTTTTGACTATTACCTTTTCCTTTGTGTTAAGGGATTTTAATGCCATTCCCCCCCTCCCCCCCCAGTTTCCACGTAGAAGAAGCTGTGCGAGGATCTGCATTCTCTACCTCATTTTTCCATTAAGTAATTTGTTACGTGTTTGCACACTTGGGCAACCTATCGGGGCCACGGCCAACTCATACCGAACCATGTGACACTCAAGCCAGGTGATTTCATAGTCGAGGCCCATAAACGGAGCTCCACAGAATCCCCAACCTACATATGAGGAGCTTTCGAAGCCCATATGCCAAGGCCCTTTGAAGGTGGACGAGACCCTATTGGCCGAAACACTGTAGTCGAGGTGGCAGCGTCCGAAGCACAAAGCAACACCTTCCATAGACACCTCTCCAAGAGATCTTCTGCACAAAGATCTTACTTGAATGATTCATAAGACGTTTGTCATGAGTGTAAATGTTAAGTCTTGTCACTAGTAGAGGCGGCTCTACCAATCAATAAATGTATAGCAGGCTAGGGGGGCTGATGCCTACAATTTGACATGTAACTCAACCATATGAGGCCACGTGTACCCCGAACCAAAGGTCATGATCTAACTTGTGACACTATAAATACTCCCCCATGTACCTCATACAAAGGCTAATGCACGAATCAATACAAGAAACCACACTTTACTCTCTCTTTCTTATTATCTTTCAACACAATACGAATTTACGCATATTTACATACACATTTACAAACATCGATGGTAATGATTGTACAATCGGTTAACGAACATCCCGTCGGATTCCGAACGTTCTCGTCCCGCACCGTTGAGCTACTCCCACGTCCTTGATCTATTCATTTTAGACCGTCCACGTGTCTTAGCGTGTTGGACTTTCGCTTACGTATGCATGGGTGAGTTTGGCATCTGTTAGCAATATTTTCTGAGATCAACAGATTGGCGCCGTCAGTGAGAATCCATATCATAACCACGAGCAACCTTGTTGTGAAAGCTTATTAAAGAGGAACATTTGGGTATCTCCTTGAAAAAGGATTTGTTCTTAAAAAAGAACAAGAAGAAGCCCCACGACTTAGCAAAAATCTAAAGGGTAAGACGCAAAGAAAATGAGTTTAAACGAAGATACACCCCTTAGGAGGATAAAAGAGAATGCTAATCTGCCCCCTCCAGCAGCTGCCCTAGCAGCTTGGCATAGACTCCACCACAACCACAGAAGAGATAGAATGTGTGCGACGTCCCGGCTGTCAAGAGAAATGACCGCCTTGGTAGCTACTGTGAGGGACATTGCTAGCCAAAACATGGCTACAAGGGAACTTATGGCCCAAATGCAGGGCCAAGGAAGCTTCTCTATTCCTCCATACGCCCCTCATGAGCACTACCTGCAAGAAGATGAAGCTCAAAACCGTAGGGCCACCTCGCCGGACTATAGCCGAGGTAGAAGCCCGTTTGAAAGGGAAGTGGAAGTTGATGTTTCCTCCAACTATGCCTCTGACCAACCCACCGAGGTCCCTTTGAACCATGATAACTTCCCACCTCCGTACGAGCAAGAGCAAAGACATAGGAGGTCAGGCAGTGTATTTGATAGAATTAGCCCTGCTGAACCGAGGCTTAGACAACAACATCACGAACCTTGGACAAGGCCACTGCCTCCGCCTCCAATGCCTCAATAGCCGGAAGGAAGGTATGAAAATGCGCCCCCTACTGCTCCACCTAGAAATAGGTGCCAAATGAGGGAGGAAGAGGCTAGCAACCGCCCCGGAACCTCTCACCAACAACCAAGGTATGAGGCTGAAGAAAACGATTCAGATGAGCAGCAGAGGTCTTATGACTTGGACGATGACAATGAAAACCTACCATTCTCAAGAGAACTAAGGAGTACCAAAGTATGACGGAAGAGGCGACCCAGAGAAGCACCTGAATGCTTACAAAACTCACATGAGCCTAAGGGGCACCACCCCAGCTATGAAATGCAGAGCTTTCCACTTAACACGTAGCGGAGCAGCTGAAATTTGGTATAGTATGTTACCACCTAGAAGCATAAGAAGTTGGCCCGAATTCAAGACGACCTTCTTGAAGAGGTTCGCTGTGAGCAAAGAAGGAGAGACCCTCATCCAACGTCTCCAAGACATGAGGCAGGCACATGGGGAGTCCCTAAAAAGCTTCCTATCACGTTTCACCAATGAGATGACATATTGTGTGCAAGTCACAGACCGTGAGGCGTTATCTGCATTGAGAGGAGGTCTGAACATGAACACCCTATTCTGAAGTGACGTGCAGAATCAAGACCCCACCACCTATGATGCCCTACTCAAAATGATGAGATGGAAAATCATCAATGAAGAATTGATTGAGCATAGGAACAAGGCAAATAGAGACCTCTCACCTCCTCAAAGGCAGCATGCTAGAGGGCCGACCTCCCACTTGATGGACTACTAAATGAACCAAGCTAGTAATGGGAGTTCTGGGCAAGCACTTTCCACCACCACTCTCAACGCCGTTCCTACATTGATATATAAGGACATCAACCTAGTCACTGATACCCAACACATGGGAACTCCACAAGGATCTCGTAGGGGTAGAGGTCGAGGTCGGGGTTCGGGACCTAGAAATAGGTCAAATCAGAACCCTCTGGATACTGTGCATACCACCGATCCTATGGACATGACACAGCAGATTGTCGAGAATATGCTCATCGCTCCCGATAGGAACCCCCTAGGGACAGAAATGAATTGTCCCGCCTAGGTACGATAACCGACATGAGCGTGAAGAGGCTGCTCCTCGTCAAAGGGATGATTCTCCCCGACGAAGGGAGCGTGATGCAGAGAGGCCCAGAGCGCAGACACCGAAGAAATCAACAAGCTCAGGATAAGGCCCCTATCCACGAAGTGGATACCATTTTTAGAGGCCCATATGTAGGTGGTGAAACGCGGAACTCTAAAAGGAATTATACCCATGAGGCCAAGTGACCCCCGCTTACCAGCTATATTGTAGGTCACAGCTCTCGAAAAGATCAAGTTCCACCTATTGTCTTCACCTAGGAGGACACTGAAGGGGTTCACTACCCCACTGCAATGCACTTGTGGTAAGAGCAGTAATAGCCTAGAATGGGCTCAAACGAATGTTAGTTGACAACAGTAGCTCTGTCAACATTTTATTCGGATTCACCTTTGACAAGATGATACTGGACCATGAGTTAACATCCACCACCACTCCTTTATACGGAATTACCGGAGATAGCATCACTCCGAGAGGAAAAATCACACTCGCGGTGGAGATGGGGAAGTCTCCCCAAACCACTATGAACTTCATGGAATTCCTCATTATCGACAGTCGATCGGCCTACCACGGAGTATTGGGTAGGCCAGCCCTAAAAGAATTGGAGTCGTCACCTCCATCCACCACCTATGCATGTAATGCCCGACTGAAAATGGGGTGGCAATGGTGAGAGGCGACCAAAGAGGCTCAAGAAAATGTTATCTAAGCTCCATCAGAAAGATAGAGCCCCAGGACGTCCATGTAATTATCGCCGACGTAGTCATGACAAATGTCCCAGGTGATGTTCCCGCCAAACTGGAAGACATCTAAATGATTGACGTACTACCCAATCCGGAAGTATTAGTCATCGATGAGATTGATCCCCGCATAATTGAACACGAACCTCAAGCATCCCCAGTTGAGGAACTTGAGAGCGTCTCAGTGGACCCCCGAGATCTATCCAAATTCTTGAAGGTGGGCAAAGGCTTGTTCAGCATTGTGAAAGAAAAGCTCAAGGATTTCCTAAGTAGGAACCTTGATATCTTTGCTTGGAGACATGAGGATATGGTAGGCATAGGCCCCAAGGTCAGTTGCCACCACCTAAAATTGATCCTAAGGTTGCCCCACATAGACAAAAAAAGAGAGCCATCAATCCTACGATGTACGAGGCCCTGAAGGAAGAAGTTCAGAAGCTTATCCAAAATGGCTTTATCATGGAGGCCACCTATTCGAGGTGGGTCTCCAATC